CCCCGCCTCCCATTTCTAGTCTTTTTTTTCATGGTGTCTCTTTGCTGCAGCATCTGCAATCTCCCCTTGTCTTTTATGTCACTTGGTATTTAGCCCAGCAGTCCTTTACTGACACTTTAATATCCTTGATGCAGTATTTACATCATGGGATTTGAATGCGAAACACCTTAGTTTTCCTCTTGCTCCAGTCATTTCTGTTGTGATGAAATAATTCACACAGCTGTCTTGTTAGTGGGACCTGGCTCAGAAAGGGGTTTGCTATGGAATTTAACTTGGCGTTTTGAGGCTTTTGGCAGACATGCTCTGTCACATAGAATCACAGAATCATTAGGTTGGAATAGACCTCTAAGATAATCAAGTCCAACTGTTGACCCAACACCACCATGCCCACTAAGCCATGTCTACAAGTGCCACATCTACATGTTTTTTGAATACCTCCAGGGCTGGTGACTCCACCACTTCCCTGGGCAGCCTGTTCCAGGGCTTGATGACCCTTTCGGTGAAGGCATTTTCCCTAATGTCCAATCTAAACCTCCCCTGGCATAACTTGAGGCTGTTTCCTCTTGTCCCATCGCTGGTTACTTGGGAGCAGAGACCAACCCCCACCTCACTACAGCCTGCTTTCAAGCAGTTGTAGAGAGTGATAAGGTCTGCCCTTAGCCTCCTCTTCTCCAGGCTGAACAAGCCCAGAAGAACATTGACTTCTTCTATCCATTCCCTGTGCAATCTTTTGACAGATCATTTACTATGACTTTAACCCAAAATATGCAAAGCTTCAATTATTATTTGTTTCAATTTGCTGTAGTTTAGTTTAAGCACATGCAAGTTCTTAACAGAATGATATACTTCCATAATTTTTCTTGCGAATCATTCTGCTTGAGCTGTGTACGTGATGAGGGGAAGAAAAAAACACCCCAGCTTTATTGTGTCCCCTGAAAAGCAGCTTTGCCAATGACTTCAATGGAAGAAAGAGCAGGCAGTGAAAGTCAGTTCTAAGAGTGTGCTTCTCCCTGCCACTGAGTGAGCCTGCTTACAGTAGTGCCTTTAGTGGGTTGATATGGAAAAGCAAATTCTCAAAGGTTTTACAGTTTTTCTGTTGAACTGTAAGAAAAATAAATTGCCCCCCAGATGTGTGTGTGTATAAATACATAACTTTTAATAGAAGTGAGATTATGGCCTTTTTTGCGTTACTATTGGAAGAACATGTTTTCTATTTATTGTTCTACAAATAGCATCTAAAATACTACTTGTTAACTCTTACCATTGAGGAAGGAATTTCTTTGTTCAGAAAGTTATTTTTTATATGTATGTATATACATACACACACGCGTGTTTGTGATTTATCTATAATGGACAGATGAGGATTACCACATATACTGCTAAAATAATGTGTGATTTCTTATTAGAAAAATTCTTTAAAATGACAAAAACTTGGATGTGGAATCAGGCTCATGTTGACTATGGGGACAGTCCATGGAAACATATTTCTCTTAAAAATATGTGCAACAGGTTTTTTCCTACTTACTTTGTCATGGCACAGCTGCAGGGTGAGCTTTTCTTTTAAATGCTTCATAAAGATTCAGAAATGGCCTTTTGCGTACTATTTGCTTCCAGATTAAATAGTGAATGGATGCTTTATTCCTACACAGATTGAGACATTTGGCTTCAAGATCCTCTTTTAAATTAGAATTTTTAAGAACGTTTGTTAGAGACTTCTTTGGGGGACTTGATCATGCTATAATTATTACTTTGAAATGTTAACATTTTCTATCACATTTTGCTTCTATTTGATGTAAGAAATTGCTGCACATACAATTCTGCTAGGAAATGGATATGTCTGTGCCAGTCTGTACAGCATTGCCCATCTCCTGACCTGTGCGCAGCAAGAAATGCAAGTTTCTGTGTTTCAAAGGCTGCATGAGCTGAACTCAATATACAGGAGCTCATTCTAGCTGTTGAATATAGAATGTGTACCTTTAAAATTCATGAACGTTGTGCATGTTTTTCAAGTTAGAACATGGCTTATAAATACTAATTGGGGCAGTGATTCCAGCGATGAAGTTGCAGAGAGACATCAATGAACTTTTTCAATGGTCTAATCCTTTTCATAATTATTTGTCATTACGGAAGTTCTTTCACTTAAACCTAACTTTCAACTATTTTTTAGGTCTTTCTAACAATTTAGAAGTTTTCTTTTTGTGATTTATGCAGGTTTAATATTGGCAAAGGTGTAAAAAATGTTACTGCACAATTTTGTGGGAAAACTTCATAAAGAATGGGTCCACATTAAAGCATTTTCTAAAAAGAAATTCCTCTTGTATTTCTTTGGTTTTGTCTCCGGAGGGATATAAGAGACTTTGAGGAGCAGAGCATTTTGCTCTTTCTCTACATTTCAAACCATGAAAGAAAAAACACCAACTATCTGAAATCACTTGCGTTACTAATGCAACCGTCCTTCAGAGGCACCCGAGCTGTTTATGAGCACTGTTAAAATCTCTAGAAAATCCTCCTGTCTGTCGAGCCATGAACTTTATAGCCATTTCTTCTGTTAAATTCAGTTCCTTGAAGGATGCGCTGATTTGGCTGAACGGACAGCCCTGAGGTGCCGCTGCCCGCAGCCTCCAGTGATTGCTGGCGTGCCGGGACGCCTGCCTAGTAGGCAGCTGCTGGAAGCAGAGGCTTTCAGTGGAGCAAAGCTCTGGGCACTGCGGTTGGTTGCGGTCATGGCTGTGGTGTCCCAGATGACCGCAGGTATTCCAAGCCCAGTTCTGCTCTAATTTCTTAATAAGAGCAGGGTCGTGGTGTTAACATTAGGAATGTGATACGTACGGTGGCCTTTTTATTATTCAGCTTTATAATCCTCAACATTGGCTTACAGGTTTCAGCCTAATGAGCAGTTGCGTATGTGAAGGCTTATCTCAATTTTACGTGTTTTTACTAAATTATTTTTGTCTTTTTCACTCCTGGCACTTCCAACAAAAGTAAATAGAAGGGAGAGATAACTTAGCATGGCTTCTGAATACTTTTGTTGTTGGTTGGTTGGGGTTTTTTAATTTTATGGTATTCAGAGCAACTGTGGTTGGGGTTTAATATATTGAGCAGGAAGGGACATGCTTATAGCTGGGACCCAGGAGGGAAAAGTGAACAGCAGATGTCTCAACGCTTTCGACTTACACTTCACAGATTATTTTTTCAAAAAGTACAGTGTTCCCTACTCTGTATAAATCAGACAGCACAAAGTAGGTTAGATTACAGCTCTTGGGGTGGGAGGAGGAGGAATTTAGTTCATCACTGGTGGACATAATTATTCTTATTTTCCCAAATTAATTTGTTAGGGGATGAATGTTAAGAGATGTTTAGAATCAGATGGTTAACAATGATTTCAGGATGCTCTACTAGGCTATAAATCTCCCGGGGACCACGTACACTGTATCAATCATGACCTCGTGTAAGCAAAGACAAGAGATTGAACTTACATTTGACAGTACTGCGTGACTCCTGGAACCCAGCTGACTCTGAACCCCAGCTCAGGGCTTCACACTCGCGCTCCTCCCCTTGCCCATGCCTGGCACTTGTGCTTGCACCTCCTCTGCTCCTCTCCGCCAGCCAGCACAGCTTCCAGAGCCCCACGCTGCGCTTACGCCCGTCTTCCAGGGTCTGGTACACCCAGTTGGGACTAAAGGCAGCTGCGTTGTTAAGAATAAGTGAGACCAGGGCTACCAACACAGCTGTGGCTACCAGTTTCTGGACAGTCATATCTGACTGTCAATGCCAGTCTCTATTTGCAGAAGACACGAGGTCTCAATCAGCTGCAGCACATTGAAATTGGACTTGAAATGGAGGCAGCTTCGCTAGAATGTTATGAATGGCTAGAGGACATCACCGTTCATTCTCAAAGTCAACTCCAGAGGTGTTTCTGATTAAGGAAATGAGAATTTTACGAGGTAGGTAGGAGAATTCCATAAAATAAGAACAGGAAGAAGCTTTTTTAGGTCCTTCCCAGCTTTGACTTATCCACCTTCTTGCACTTTAATAAGTAATGTCAGTCCTGTGGTGAACTGAATGATAGGGAGGTCCATTCCTTGTGAGACGAGGTGAATCCAGAAAGAATCCAGTCTCGAGGCTGGAGAGCCTGAGCTGCCGCCAGGGCAGAGGCAGGGGCGCTCTCCAGCAGCGTGCCAGGTGCTTTGGGTCCCCTGAGTCAACCAGTGCCGCTCCAAAAGCCTTTTTTGGGGTGCAAACTTTAGAATATCCTGCAAACCGTGGCAAATGTCTTTCTCTCAAAGCCAAGCCGAATGGGAGGTGAATGCTGTCATCCCAAAGGAGCTCTGCAAGTTTGAAGTATCTCGAGGAGTTTGCTCTGCTGTGTTCCCCTCTGAAGATCTGAGCTGCGAATGCGAGGACCAGAGAACAGCCACTGCTGTGGGGAAAAGGCCCCCCCCACCTCTCCACGAAGAGGAAATAGCTGTTTTTGTGGCTGTTTTTGGTGAGCCTCAGGGCGTAGTCGACTGCAACAAACAGAGCCACTGCCACAGCAGTCAAACATTAACAGGATGTGTTTCCTGAAAGGAAAAGGCTATGGAGACTTCTAAAGTTGTACCTCCTCCCCTCGGAGAGCCCCCCTCCCTGTCTCACTCCTCCTCCCCTCCCAGCAGCGCAAAGCGGGGCTGCGCGTTGCAGGGGAGCCCAGGGAGCAAATCAGAGGTCCTCTTTGAAAGAAAAAATCAGAAATCCTCAGCCTCAACCCTGGGAATGTCAGGTCTGCAGAAACCGACTGAAGAGAGGGATTTTGAAATGCATTTGTTGAAAGCGAAACAGTATTGGGGTTAGCTGTTGAACAGCATGACGAAAGCAGGGGGTGTGTGTGTGGGGTCTGCTGACGTCCCCCTTCCTCTCCACAACTGTAGAAGAGAGCATGGCAGATAAATAGAAAATATAAAATCTCAAGTTTCTCAGCCTGAGACACAGACAAATTTGGGGGTGTCTGAAAATGCAGTTACAAGTTATGGTGTGAATGAAGTTGAAAATCGCTGCATTGTGACTGTGCAGGGCTGGCACAGCCCTGAGCCCCAACGACCCGGTTTGCTGTGGTCGCTGGTGGCTCTGAGTGCCTCTGAGAAGGCTGGCCACCTCCCTTCAGTGCCCAGAGGATGGAAAAGCTTCTTCAAGTTGCTTAATATCATGCCTCTGTTCACAATCTGGTACAGAACCGATTGTCATACAGCAAGCCAGGCCTGCACCACTGGTGCTGCAAAAGCTGCAAGGAATGCAGCTCTAATAAGCAGATGAAAAGAGCATCCTCGAGGACATTTCAAACTGTCCCTGAACATGGATGTTTCCAGAGGGGTCTTGCAGAGACTGGCTCTCCAAATGGTTGCTGTTCCGTGTTTCCATCAGCTGCCACAGCAGGTCCAGCCATGGGGCCAAGGGCAGTGGTGCTGGGTGGGCACTGCCCTGCCATGGCAGTGGCCTCTCCTGCCCCTGGGGCGTTCCTGCCTGCGGTTATGCCCTCCTTTGATCTGAGGCTGTCAACATTCTTTAGGCTGAAAAAATACTGTACAAGGTGTAGTATGAAATGGAATGTTGTGACGTGACGATGTGACCTTCTTTTCAATAGCTTGGAGAGGGTGTCGTGAGAAGTTGCAGCAGAGAACCTGCATCACCAGCCGCAGCTGCTCTGAGCTGGAGAGGTTGGCACAAGAGTTCACAACACTGTAATTAATAATATTAGATTGGAAACTGGTTTAATTTTATAGCAGTTCTGTCTTACAAGCTAAGTTACTTTGCCCTTAGTCAGCAAATCCGTACTGACCCTGTAGACAAACTGGTTGGAAATTTTTTGAAAGGCAACAGTTTAGTTTCCAAGACTTGTTGCTGAGAGCAGCAGAATATATTTTAATGACGTTCGTGTGCCCCTATAATTAGTTTTCAGCTATCGGAATTGAATGTACAAATCAGGCTATGGATTCACCCCTCGGTGTGCTTGGTTAATTTTTAATCCTTAAATGGATTCAGCTTTAGGGGCTTTGGGCATCTTCATACTTCGACAGCAGTACAGCATCTTTGGTTTTTTTTTTTTCCTGTGATTGGTCATGTTTCTATATATCTCAGATTTTAGAAGTTTCAATCTTAATAATGCACTGGTGCCTGCCATTCTTTGAAGAAATTTCCTAACAACAATGACTATATTTCGTGTTTATAACCCATGGATTATAATAATATATATATAATATAACAGTAATTTGTTATTATTTTAAGCGTGTGATTCAGCAGCAAGGTAGATGGTGTTCATATACAGATAATGCCAGGAGACATTTACCTTTAGGGAAATTCCTTTTACCCAATTGCAGACCTGCTTCTCCCCCTCTGTCTTTGATTTTTGTCATTTGTTGAAGTCTGAGCATGTGTTTTCAGAAGGGCACAAGCTTTCTTTGCATGTTACACGTAAAAAAAAAATACAGTAATTGTACTTTACAAAGGCTGAACAAATCAGTCTAATAATTTAAAAATATTTCTTCCTCTTTTCACACCAGTTATTTGGCATGCGAATATTCAACCTCATTTTTGAATTCTATCAACATTAAAAATAAATAATATTCGTCCAAAGTTATATTTGTCTTTGAGCATCAAAGGGACCAGGTGATCAAAATAGACATCATGGCATTAGTTTGTGGTTTAAGATATATGATGCTTGAGAAATTCTCCATGTTACACATGCAAACTCACTGACTTGCGTGGATTTGTATTTAAGGCAGCTTTCCCGGAAGAAAAGAACAAATCTCTTGCTCTCTCCCAGATTGCGTCTTGTTGTGGCCGCAGGTGAGTGAGTGGCTGTGTAGTGAATTGCAGCTGGGAACAGGTGCAGATGAGCCGAGTGGATCAGTTCGCTGCCACATAAAATACAAGAGGTGCCGGTGGGACTGGTGACAAACTTGGCCTTAGATCAGCTGCTTCACCCCTCTGGCTATGGTGGGGTGGTTGTCTCTGAATAGGCTGTGTAATCTTAAGTCCATGTGAATCACAGAATGGCAGGGGTTGGAAGGGACCTCTGGAGATCATCCAGTCCAACCCTCCCTGCTAGAGCAGGTTCACCTACAGCAGGTCGCATAGGAACGCTTCCAGACAGGTTTTGAATATCTCCAGGGAAGGAGACCCCACAGCCTCCCTGAGGAGCCTCTTACAGTGCTCTGCCACCCTTAATGGAAAGAAGTTTCTCCTCCTGTTGAGGTGGAACTTCCTGTGGTCTCCCTGTTGGTGGGGACTGCCGTATCATAAATTGTTTGGGACTTCCAGTTGTCATGGTGGGAATTTTTCTGGGAGCCCCGATCATGGCTTAGGGGGCAGAAGGGACAGCAGGCATCAGCCCGCCCAGGCAGTGCACCAGGCTAGAGGGTCTCTGAGGAGCAACGCAAGGCAGTGGTGATTGCTGTGGCTGCAGTAACTCAGCAAGCACACAATGATTTTTTTTTTTCCCCATGGCAAAATTTCTGGTGGATGTTCTTGTCTGGAAGTAGCTGTTTGCTAATGGTTTGTTCCATGCTAGAGAGTGACTCTGCCCGGCGGTGGGTTAGATTGTTCCATGCAATTTGCATAGCAGCTTATAAAGCATTTTGGGTCTTTCTGGGTGAGAAATCAGTTATGTAAATGTAATTTTACTTTCAGAATCCAAATAATTTAGATTATATCAGGTAACTAGTTGCTTCCATACTGAACTTGTCCATTTACTACCTGATCAATTCTGTTTGCAGTTGCTTATGCACACGTAATCTTTTTTCTATTATTTTTAATAGGCAAATGGTTTTTTATCATTCTAGTCGACTAATAACAATATCTAAAGACGTAAAATTGGGGAATTCCCCAAATGAGTGGATCACACCACATCAAAATTAAATGAGTTTTGCAAAGATCTGGTAAATTTTCCTAGCCTGCTCATACAAAAATGACTCAGTTTTTAATTTTTGTTACTGTTTTAATCAAATGGTCCCTGTTGGTGCGTTCACAGTCAATGACATTCTCTGCCTTCACTCAGAGATCTTGGGCTTCCAGTACGAAGCAGTCCAGGAATCCTTCTGATCCTTAATTTAAAAAAAAAAATTTAAAAAAAATCACCTTAATGAACACTCCTCTACTGATAAATGTGCAGGTGTGTGTTCAGTTGCAGTACTTACTGCGTTCCTTAGGACTTTCGTTTGATGCAGTTCACACTGAACAATGGCTTGGTGTTGATTTTATTAGGATAAGTTTGGAACAGACAAAGTTATGTATTTAATATGATATTCCAGATACTATTCTGTAAAGCTTTTGTTGCTTTATCAAATTTTTCTGTTTCTGCCAGGGAAGAGTTTTTAGGAATAATCTAGACAGCTTTCAGTATTTTGATCATACATGAAAAACGCCTGACGTATTTCTCAGGGAAACATTAATTTAATACGATTAACCCTATCAGGAATCCCATTGAATTGTTGCAACTTTTCGTCCGTTATGTAGTTCCTTGTTATCTTTTAGTCCCACTGGACAGGCATAACCAGAATCCGATAAATGCATTTTAAAAGCATCTAACGTAATTCAGCTGCATCAGATAAAACTTCATTTTTTCAAGTCCTGAGTTTTTTTCTGGGTTACAAGAGAACAGAGAGTAAGCCACTAATTTTGACATTTTAACTCTCTATTTATTTTGTAGTGGTTTGAAGATAAGATCAGTGTCCATCTTTAGAGTTTTATATTTTATATAGTTTATGATTTTACATAGTACTTCT